TTTCTTTACTTAATATAAACACAGATAAACTGACAAACCAGGCTCACACTGACAGGCGTCCGTGGAGTCACCTTTCCCACGCAACTAGTTTTCATTTCTCCTCTCACATATACGACTTGGTCACTATCTAGTCATCTTGCTGTTGATCGCTTTTAATGTTTTTTGGGGGGGGGGGGGGTTTTTCGGGGTGGCCAGTTTTTTTTTTTTTTTTTTTTGCGCCAATACTGTAAAAGCCTGAGTTATTTATTTTTATGCTTAGGTGAAGCTGATTTGTTTGTTGAAGTAAGGCGTTGCATGGTTGTGTGATCTAAAGCTGTGGTGCTTTTAACGAGCTGAAAGGATTACCAATACTTAACCTAATTACTTTGCTCTCTCCATTTAAGCTGCTGCCTTTCTCTCACACTGTAATTTATAGATTGGTTTCCTTGCGCTTTCTAAATCAATCGCTTGGTGGCTGATGTTGGACTGTTTCTGCTGTCATCCTTGAAAACCTGTTTTCAAGTTAGTGAATGATAACCCTGAGATAAAGCTGATGAAGATTAAAGTCGTGTTTTCGCAGCTCTAGTTGCTGTTACACAACCACATTCACCTCTAAAACCGGAATTCACCAAGCTTTTTGGAGTGAGGTAACTCCAGTTTGAATAAAAAACTCCCACAGGGAAGTCATATTCCCATATGGAACCAAAATGGACATAATAGGAAAAACCCAAATGTTTTCAGACATGAAGTGAAAATTTGACTGACGCTGTTTACAATAAAGGGAATAAAAACTAGGAAGGTGAAATTTTACCAGAGAATCCCCACCTCTCAAGTTGCTGTGTTTTTCACTTCATGGTCTTATATACCTTTGAAATAGTGTCTAATTGTGAAGTGGGAGGGAAAATCATACATGACCTTCAAGATTGTTCAGTTTTTTACAGATATGAATCTGAAAAGTGTGGTGTGCATTTATATCCAGCTTCCTTGTGGAACCATCTTGCTCTAATTACAGCCTCAAGTTTGACTGGGTGTCTTTACTACCTGAAGGAACTATAATTTGTGTGTCAAATTTGTCTTTCTAAATAGCTCAGACAGATTTGATTGATAAGGAGATTTAAAAATCAGTTTCTAAAAGAATATGCTCTGATTTGAGGTGATTAGATGTACTGTATTTTATTTAGGGGCATTGAAGTAGAGGGGAGTGAATAAAATACAAGCAAAACCTTCCACATTTGTTTTTATTCATTCATTTAAAAAATACATTATTTGTGATTTGTAAATTAAATTATAAACAAGGATCCAGACATTAAAGGCTGAACATTTCAAATTGTTGGCAAAATTGTACAAGCAAATTTGCATAATGGCTAACTTGAAAAAGATATAATAAAAAAAAAAACACGATAATTCTGCCATACCTTTAAAAATATTTCGAATTGTCATCAATTTTTAAATTTGTTTGATTCTCTTTTTTATTTTTATTCCTTTTATTCTTTATTAATAATGGGGAAAAATGACTTGTGTTTATTTGGCAATAACACAAATAAACATTATTAACATCACAACAATCAAATATCGTCACCAAAGATAAAAAACAAAAAGCTTATTTAAACTGTTGTCCTCCAGATGCTCAACACAAACACACAGCAAGCATAAACACACACGTTCAGCAGGAAGTCTTGCAGTAGATTAGATTGGAGAGAAATTAAGATATTCCTCTGTGTCGTTCTGCAGCCCTCCTGTTTAGATGGCCCTCTGTCTGCAGCCATAATGCACACGTCAGAGCTCAGCTAAAGGTTACGCTGTCGGAAGCCTTCTGCTGCTCCGTGTTTGATGAAGGACGCTGCACAGTTGTGTCAGCTACTGTTGCTCTCGTCTGTCCACCTTGTGCCACCCAGCCAGGTCCCACCTGCATGTCGACCCCCGTAACCTCCAGACTCCCTCCTCTGTTTAATTATTCAGTTTTATTCTTTAGACCGCAGAGCAAAAACTGGGCAAATATAAGCTCTTATATCTTAAGTTAAAAATATGTTAGTGTTACATCCCAATAGGTCTGAAAGGAGAACTTTATCTGCAGGAGAATAAGTCCTGCTCTAAATTAACTGTAAAAGTAATATTTAAATGACACTTTCTTCATTGTCTGGTGACTTGAGGAGTGAGGTTGTATAATAAATGCATCGTTAATTAACCAGAAACAATCGAGCTTTGTTACTCGATCAGTATGAACCAACATGTTTAAACTGAATGCTTGGTCATTTATCTGAATATTTGTTCATCTCTCATGTCTGCTGTGATAGATGCACTGATCAGGGTTTTCATGGACCAGTACGATTATTTTATGGGGTTAATTTTGTTTTTATTCTGTTGGAGGATTTCCAGTCTGGTTATGAGATTCTGCAGCATGATAAGCTCAAGTAAAAATACCCGAGCTTCACAGCATTTGCAACGAAAACATAAACAAAACTGGGGAACCTAATCTAATCAAATGATCATGAAATCATAAATATTCTGCTGCAAAATGTATTTATAAAAATGTTGTCTCAGACGTTTATTTATAAATACTAAAGCAAATATTTTTCGTTTTCAAGTGCAGTTTCCCATTAAGCATCATATTATGTCTTTTTTTCTGTGCTGCTCTTTATAGAGTAACATCAACACAGTTGAACATACACAGAATAAAAGACGCACACATTTTTTTCTCACTGTTTGAAGTTGAATCAGACCAAACTTCTCCTGTTTTATGTCAATTAGAATTATTAAAAATATTTCTACATGCTAAATACCACAATAATGATGAATGAATATTTATTTCTTAATGCCTTCAAAATCAGAAGTTTACATGCAGACCAATGACTATCACTTCAAACATGGTGATGATGTCATCGCTTCAGGTTGATTGACACATTTGATTTAATTAGAGTCATACCTGTGGATAAATTTTAAGGCCACACCCGAAGCACAATCATTTCTTGTTTGACTTGATGGGGAAAATCAAAATAAATCAGCCAGAGAATCAGGAAGAGAACCACTGTTACATTTGGAGGAAAAATGGGGATGCTTGTGCCATTCTAACCGTGAAGCATGGTGGTGGCAGCATCATGTTGTGGGCCTGTTTTGCATCATGAGGGAAGGACATTATGTAGAAAAATTAAAGCAACATCCAAAGACGTCAACCAGGAAGTTAAAGCTCAGGTCCAAACGGACAATAACTCAACATTCAGGTAAAGTAGATATAAATTGCTTAAGGACAACATAGTTGATGTTTTGCCATCACAAAGCGCTGACCTCAGTCCTACAAACCGGACTTGGTTCCACCAATTCTGTCAGCAGAAACTGGTCAGGAGCTTGTAGAAAGAAACCCAAAACGTTTGACCCAAATCATACATTTTTAAGGCAAAATGCTTCCAAATGTTTAGGAAATGTATGAAAACTTCTGATTTTGAATTGATTAACAAATAAATCCCTGACATATTCTCTCTCTCTCATCATTGTAGCATTTAGTAAATAGAAATACTTTTGGTAGCAAGAAATCAAATCTGATTTAACTTCAGACAGTGAGGAGAAAGGGTGTTTGTGTCTCAATTTGTCTAAAGTGTCTGCCAAGTGAAAAGTAAATTTAGTTTTAATGCATTAATTACATGTAACAAACATTGTCCATGAAAATAAATGTGGTGTGATGCATTTAGTGAACAAGAATTACATTTTTAGAGATATTTTAGTGCTTGATCTGCACAGTTGGAGTGAATTGAGGAATCATTGATGAATCCAAGTGAAAAATCCTTAATCCAAAGGCTGCAGTGACTCCTGAGCGCTTTATCAGTGAGTGAAAGGTCATTCCTGTTTATTTTCACAGGTACCGGCTGCAGTGTAAACTAGGATAGCTTTGGAGAGGAGCCAGTGTCTCTGCATATCTCTCCACAAGCGGTTGCAATGGCAGCTGTGCAGCATTTGGTGTTCGGAGTGTTGCTAAGGAGCTTTTTGATGATGTTGGATGCTTTTTGCCTCGTCAGGGTGTGCGTAAGCACAGACTCTTGACACTGACGTGGACATAAACGCAGGACGGGCGAAGCTGCAGGAGGAACGCTTGTCTAGTTCCCCCCCCAGAGAAAAGTTTGTATTGATCTGTAGGCTTTGGAGGAGGAGGATGCACCGATAAGCGTAATGGTTCAGCAAGCGAAGCAATTGTTACCTGCTCTTCTCTCATTTCTGCCTCTCTTGTTTGGCCTGGGATGTGACTTTGTGTTGCTGGTCCATCGGTCCCTGCTGCAGCATTACCCGTCCATGTTGTGTATCTGCATGCCGTCACACACAAACACACACATTCGTTCCCTCACCGTGGTCCCCCCCATTGCTTCCTCCGTCTGTGTCTGCTTCCATCAGACATAGAGGCTGATAATATCTGCTCCAACGCCCTCTTCTCCTCCGGTTCTGTCCTTTATTGAGCTGCTTGAGGTTTTATATACCAAGCTTTTCCCTTACCTTTACGGCTGCAAATAACTATTATCTTAGTAATCGATTATTCTGACGATTAATCAGATAAACTGGCACATTCAGCAGATTTTACTTTTAAGCATTTTCTATGCAATATTAGAAATGCATTATAATTTGCAAATAAACAGATAAATTCCTTTTGTAGATAAGAAAATAAACATTTAATCATCTACATGTCATAGTATTGCTTTGGCGTATACTTGATCATTTGTAGCAAAAGATCTGCAGCAAAAACGTACTTCTGACATCAACATGTGAAAAACTCACCTCCTGATGCTTAACTATATTTACTATATTTTGGATTAAGTGATTAATAAATAGGTAGCAAAAGGTGCTTAACAGGATTTTCTTTTACAGAATTTGAACCAGGTGAAGGTAAAACTGCAAATTTAGTTCTGGGTAGAACATATTTACAAACAAAGAAGTTTTTCTTGATCTTAAATGCAAAATTCTTATATTTTTGTACACTTTTGACTTAATTGTGATGCTGATATTGAAATGTGTTTTTATAGCTTTTTTAGAAGGACACACTTCTTAAAGAGATATTTGATATTGAGGAGTTTTATCCTGGCTAAATAAAAGTTGAAGAATAATTACTGCTCTGAATATTTTGTTCTTTCAGAAAACAGCCTTTTCTGAAGTCTGTGTTCTCCAGTTATTGATTAATTAATTACTAAATTAGTTGACGATTATTTCAAAAATCGATTACCCCTAAATCCAATCTGACATAAACGGGGAAAAAAAGTCAAATTTTATGTCAGACAGTTAGAACAAAGGTTGTTCTACAGTTAGTCGCAATAATCGATTAGTCACAATTAATCTGATTAATCGTTTCAGCTCTACTTCCCTTTACATTTCATCTTTTAAATTAAAAACGAAGCTACAACATTTCCCTCGTCATGCACTTGTGTGTCTTATTATCTGTATTCATTTAGTGTCTGGCCACGTGACTCTGCTCCCTGACTGTGAGCAGAACAGAGGTCTGCATGCATCATCCTTGCATCACGCTGCAGTATGTTTGAGCAAGATGTGAGAAACTCCTCCGTCCCTGTGTGCAGGCAGAGCTGCTGCACAGTTTGAATATTAGCATGTGGCTCAGACGTGACTGTCATGACTGTGCTGGCTCCAGTGTGAAAAAGTGAGGAACAAGGACAGGCTCTGTGAAAGGAGGAGTCTTCCTTCTACTGTGCTCCCTCATTGATCAGTGAGATGCTTTGCTTGGCTGTAAAACGCAGCGTGATTGGCTGCTGCTCTGCATTACACACAGCAGCTGTAGTTGTGAAGAACTACGCTGTGTCGTCTTTTCCGTACGTCTTCATTCGGGGGAATCGACCGAACTTTGCCACGTCAAGGACAATATTACTCACCACGTCTCAAGTTGATGTCCAGTTTCCGCAGGGCAGAAAGTAAATGAGTTGAGGTGACGTCTCTGTCCTGCCTGCAACCTCCCTCCATCCTCCCCCTCTCTCTCTCTCTCTCTCACTCCTATCTGTATCACTTAATCAAGATATAGCTTGCCCTTTCCTGTTCATTGCTCCCTCCCTCCTCTGTTTTGCTTGTTTTCTTCTTCTCCTGCAGCGTGATCCTAAAGACGTAGCAGTTTCCAGCCTAAACGGTCGCTTTTTCTCTGTTTTCTGCAATTCACAGTGAGACTGCGAGCAAAGACATGCAGCGGAGAGGTCAGTGAGGATGACAACAGAGGCAACGGAGACGGAGGGATGAGAAGCAGACTCGAGTAAGAGGAGGAAGCGGGACTCCAAAGTGCCTACAGTACGGTTTTGTCCTACAGCAGGAGAGAGGGCTCGGTGTGCGTTTGGCCTTGAATGGAGGCTATATTTTGTCCTGACAGCCACAAAGTCATCCATCCCACGTTGCTGAGCTGCAGTCCCCACATACCCAGAGCTGAGCTGAAGCTTTGTCTCGTCATTACAAGGACATTACGGGTGTAAGGTTCTGCTTTTTCCTCTCCGTCTGTCAGAGAATAACAACTACAACAGAGCTGCAGCGACTTCCTCTGCTCTGACCATGTTGACATGAATGTAAAAGAGACGCATCTGAGCGGACTACGGTGATGTTTCCTGAACGTTTTTCTTTCTTTCTCTTGAGACAGAGCTGGTCTCTGCTCCCAGTTAACCTCTGCTATCTCACCCAGTAAAACTTCAGCTGACAGTTTTCCCAGGAACAGCTAATAAACATCCCCCAAAATACTCCAGTCTGAAGGGACTTGCTACCTATTTGCTCTGAAGGAAAAATATTTTTGCTTTTTTTTCCCCAAGGGGATTTTTTTTCTCTCTCTCCCTTGAATCACTATTAGTCAGCCCTGCTCGCATTAGACCATTTTTTTCCATCCACTCGCTCCCACCCCTTGCTCAGTGTCTGTGAGCATCTCAGATGGCTGTCAGCATGACCATGGGACGAGACACCAAATGGCTGACCTTGGAAGTGTGTCGCGAGTACCAGAGAGGCACCTGCTCGCGGTCTGACACCGATTGTAAGTTTGCACATCCCTCCCGGAGCTGCCATGTGGAGAACGGCCGAGTCATCGCCTGCTTTGATTCACTCAAGGTAACAACGCATCAGCTCCTGCCGCATTACAGCTCGTTTGTTCCTCCGGTTCTGTGTCAGACACGTCGGCTTCAGTCGCGGCTCTTGATCGTCTGGGAAAGTTTATAGTACTCAGACCACATATTTACATACCCTCTAGAACATCCTTTTACTCTCTGTCTGACTTTAAATTTAACTATTTTGCTCCTGTTTTAAGTCAGGTTGGACTTGGATGAAACGATTAATCGGATTAATTGTGACTAATCATGAGTAATCAATTATTTAAACAAACTCTAGACAATCTTCTCACTGTCTGACATTAAATTGGATTATTTTTTTCCTGTTTTAGGTCAAATTGAAAATAGGGATGAAATGATTAGTCAGATTAATCGATTATTGAAATAAACTGACCTTAAATCTGATCATATTTTCTTGTTTTAAGTCAGGCTCGACTTAGGGCTGAAACGATTAATCATAACTAATCATCATTAATGAATTACTTAAATAAACTCTAGAACAATCTTCTCATTGTCTGACATTAACTGGATGGTTTTTTCCTGTTTTAGGTCAGGCTGGAATACAGGTTGAAACGATTAATCAGATTAATCGTTATTAATTGATTATTGAAATAAACTAGAACAGTATTTTTCTCACGGTCTCGCATTAAATTTGACTATTTTTTCCTGATTTAAGTCAGATTGGATTTACGACTGAAACAATCAGATTAGTCATGATTAATCTTGAATAATCGGTTTTTAAAATAAACTGTAGAGCAGCTTTTGGCAGCATTGCCTTTTAAACTGTATGACTTGGATCAAGTGTTTAGGTTTTCCTTCGACAAGCTTCTCTCAATAGTTTGCTGGAAGTTTGGCCCATTCCTCCTGACCGAACTGATGTATTTGATTCATGTTTAAAGGTAGCCTCGCTAGCCACACATTTTCAGATCTGCCCACAAATTATCTGTAGATCAGAGCTTCATGATGGCCTCTCCAAAACGTTGTGTTTGTTGTCCTTTAGCAGTGTTAGTCGTCGTTCATCTGGAGAGCCCATACGTGGCCAAGCGTGAACTTTGATTGATGTGAAGTTCTTGAATTTCTCCTGCAGCAAAACAGCCACACAGCATTATTCTGCCACCTCTGTACTTCAAGCTTTATTTGGTCTTCCCAGTCTCGAAAGCAAATGTTGCAATATGCAATTAATTGCTTATTGGTTATCAATCCGTTTTATTTGTGGTTTCAGTTATAAGTGTTTATTATTCTTTCTTTATTTTATTACTTTGGATATTTAAAATATCTGCCAGTTCCAGTGTAAAGTGTTCTTTAATGATTGTTTATTGGTCATTGAGAGGGTGAACTAGCATTATTATGCCATTATCAGTTTATTACTTGAAAATGGTCTGAAAACAATAATATTATAATTTATTGCAATAATTACTGGGACAGTTTATCATCCAGCAAAATGTTATTGTGGCAAATCTAAATAATGCTAATTTGCTTTATCCGGGAGCAATAATGATCCTGAATTAACAATAAAACATCTTTATATCATTTTATAATGTGCAATAGAGACTTTAACTTAACCACTGCTATTTATTTACATAGCTGGACTTTTGTATATCCTGTATAATTTTAGTATTATTATTTGCTTTGTTAATAATTTCTGCATTTTAATGTCTATACCTTGCTAAGTCGACTGCACACATTTTTTATTCTGTTGTTACTTTGTAAAAAGTGACTGACTAGATTTGATTAGATTTTAACTAAATTGTGGCCAAATGCTTCAACTTAAGTTTCATCAAACCTCATTACGTGCCTTCAAATATTTGGGCCTTTGTCTTTAATTTGTTTTTCTTGTTATAATTGTCTGGAGTATTGACTTCTTCCTCGCTGAATGGCCTTTCAGTTCATGCTGGGACTGGACCAGCTTTGGTTCTGGGGTTGATTTTCACTTTCCACATTAAATTTGCTCAATTCCTGGGACACAGAACCCGTCTTTTCCTGGAAGGTGCCATGTTTGTTTATTCACCTGGTGTTTGACCTGGACTTTTATATATGTGTTTGAACCAATGAGTGCATGACCTTCAGGCATCTGGACATCAAATCAAACTCGTTGAGGTCCGTGATTCTTGAACTGACGTCTTGGGTAACTTTCATGATATCTCACAAAGAAGCAGCAACTTAAAGGTGTTGCCCATAACACCACATCCGTTTAACTCAACTGTTGTAAACTGACCTATCAGAAAAATATTTTTGTCAATATCTCAGTGTCTACCAAATATTAATAATTCTGGTTTTCATATCTGACTTAAAGCAGAAAGTTTTAATTTAGTGGCAGTAAGCAGTTTTTTTTATTTATACAAGAATGACGACAGATAAAACGGAAGTTTATGCTTCATTTCAGAGGAATATTTGGTGATCAATTTCATATCAGACTGACTATAAATGACATTATTCATGACTAATTGTAATGAATGTTTCTCTTAAATACTGCTGTGGCAGAAGTAAGTCAACTTCAGAAATTATTTAAGTTTTGCAACTAATTTTATTGCTTTCAGTCTCATTTATTATAACTTTAGTATTTACAGAAAAATACATACATATTGGATTTTTGCTTTGCCATATAACAATTTTAAAAAATGTGTGTCCCCTTTAACAGTTTCTGAATAAATATGACAAATTGTCATATTTAAGTTTCATTTAACAAAAATAATTATTTTAGAACAAATTACAATAATCTTTGATTGGGAATTTTGCTGCCAAGTGATATTTTGTATATTGTAAATGATACTGTACAGGATGCATAAAAATATATTAGTACTAAAATAACAAGTGTGCAAAAACAGAACATTATGTTTTGAAGAACACTGAATATAGTTGCATGAGTTTCACCTAAAGAAGCACATGTTTAGGCTACATTTTCTGGAAAATACAAGGCAGGTTTTGCATGAAACATATTTTCACATGAAGTGAATTTGAGCCTGAAACTGTTTTCTCAGAAAACTGGCAGACTATAAAACATAGCTGTAATTAAATAGAGTTATTGCTTGTAAGTGCAGATAATTGAAGATGGAAACATGGATATTTTATATATTGTATTTAAATGGTTTGTTGGGAGCAGAGTTGATTATAGAGTGGCTGTTTTTTTTGTGAACAATAAAGAGAAAATTGGAGGACTGTTTCTTTGATTAATGTGTGGGTATTGTCTTTTGTTTCTCGAATGGGAAGCATTGAAATGAAACTGAAAGCAGGATGCATGCTGTAAAAAGAAAAGCTCCATTTATCTGTCCTGATGTTTTAGGCCAATCACGCATTTCAAAAGGATGAATACACAATTAAAGATCATTCCCTGATGAATATACTGTAAGGAAAGTACAGAAAAAAACAGGGTCTGGATGGTGGTGTGGTGGTTAGCATTGTCTGTTCACAGCCAGAAAGTCCCTGATTTAGATATAAAGTTTCCACTTTGTCATTGTTCCTGCTGTGGGTTGTGGCTGGTTTGTTTCCGCCATGTTTGCTAGCATGACGGAGAGTTTTTCTTGATATTTCTGTGCCTGTGTCCTCCCTGTGTTGGGCTGCTGACCTGTTGATGTTGCTGATGATGATGATAAACGTTGGGATTAGCTCCACTTTATAAAGGATAAAACTATATACAACAATCCAACATCATAGAAATAAAACCCATATGTTTCGCTGTTGAGTAAATTTAAACCTGTGAAAAGTGTCTAGGAGGTATCCTCTATAACCATCACTCTTTGTAAGACTCTCACTCCATTTATCTTGCCAAGTATATTTATCTGTAAGGGAAAATAACTAATCTATGTTTAGTTTTCATTGTTGAATTACTACGATAAGTTGACTTAAAATTAGGGATTTTTATGGCACTGATTGCGCCTATCTGACTGCAAAATATTTTTTTATTTTAAAAAGAAATGGGATTATTTGTTTATTTGCATCTTTTCATGTATTTCTAATAGTAAATGAAGTTAATAATAGAATAATCAATAACTAAAATAAACTTTAGTTACAGCCAGGGCTGGATAATATGGCTGAAAAACATACCATAGTATAAGGGTTCATATCAGTCTATCAATAATTATTGAGTTTTTATTTTTGTTTTAAATATGTGAAGCTGTTGTATCGAGAGTTTTCACTTCTTGTCATTGTTTCTTATTTATGGTAACCAAAGAGTGAGCGAGTTGATAGGTAACCAAAGAGTGAGCGAGTTGCTAGGTAACCAAAGAGTGAGTGAGTTAGTTGATTTCACCAACCTAGTTTAGCTGACTGTGAGAGCAGCTAAAGCCTTTCCTCTGCCTACATCCCCCAGAATGCTGTGCGGTTCTGGATCAAAGTTCAGTGAAATTATTGAATGTTCTATCAGATGTATATCGACCACTGTTTTTGGTTTTGTTTATTATTTATTTTTAGTTTATTGTCCATCCCCAGGTGAGGTTCTACAAATTTTAAGACATTCTTCTGGTAGAATTGCAATTCTATTCTGCTACAACTGTTATAACTACATTCTCATGATTAAACAATTTAAAAAATGTGTAACCTGGCCCTGACACTCCATTGTATAACTCACAGAAGGGATGATTGAATAATAAGCCACTTTTTGAAAACATTTTCTATCATTTGTAATTTTTTTTTTTTTAGAAATGAAAGTAAATTGATTAAAATTGGATCTGGTATGAAAAAAAATAGGGATTTTATTTTTAAGTCATATCACCCAGCAACTTCTATGGTCTTCTGGTTATTTCTGAATGAGGGATTCGTTTTTGAGGGATTGTGATGTAAATGTTTTGTGAAAGAAACCATATACTAGTTATATAGTGTCTGTCAGTTTACTTTAGGTCTAATTTCAGGGAGTGCAGTAGAAAACGCCTTCTCTCCACTAGGTTGAGCTCAGTTGTTGAGAGTTTTCCTCTTTACTACTTCAATTTTCTATGCCTGTACTTCAGTTGTGACTCATTGATAAGCATTTATCCTTCAGGCACAAACTTGGTGGGACTAAAGTGTCTAACCTCGGCTCTGGTTATTAAAATACTGCACTGCAGATACTAGCATAGCAGCCAGCCTGGAATATACACATTTAAGTACCAAGCGTTGATCTGTTTAATGATGCATTTAAATATTCCATCTCTGAGTAGGAGGTGAAATACAGACTCCTAGACTCAAACATTAAAATAACATAACTTGCGCTGAAACTATTAACCTGATTAATGGTAATGAATTGATTAGTGAAATAATGACACTAAGTGAAAGCAGCTAGCTAGTAAGACATGCACAGATTCATGACAAGGGAAATATTTTAGCTTCATTCTTAACTTTGAAAATTAATTAATTGACCACGCGTGCAGATACTGAGTTAGCATCAGCAGCCGCCTCGTTCGGATCGGTTCTTCTGTCTCAGCTGTGAGAGCATTACAAACGTCATGGCCAAACGTTAGCGATTGGGTGAAATTTAAACTTCAGTGGAGTTCACGCCTCCAGGACGTAGTCGTTTCGAGAGTTCAGATCCTCTGGACGAAGCAAAACATAGTTCTTATTAAATCACAGATTTGACTTTAATCCACATGCATATTTAACTCAATATTAGTGTTTTCAAGTAGAATGCATTATTTGAGCTAAGCGACCAATGCTAATGTACTGGTGATCTGCTTCTCCATCACTGCTGCTGCTGCTCTCTCCTCTCCTCCACCTGATAACCACAACATCAACACCGTACAGGAGTACAAGCCACTCCGGTTAGTGATAATAACTAACATTTTACGATAGCATCAGCTGAAAAAAGCCAGTTATTTTAGCCTCTAAACAGACGGTTGTTGTGATTCCCAGCCTCGTGAGGGATTTTTCTCAAAGCTTTTCTACAGCGAAGAATCGAGACCCAGACAAGGGGCTTTCTGTCTGAGTGCAGCTGCTGTCTCCTGGTTTATTGAGTTAGAATTTATTATTCAGCCATTTTTCTGTGTTATGTCCTACGGAGCAGAGGGGGGAGATGGAGAAGAGAGACAGAGAGAGGGGGCCTAGCAACAGCACAGGACTGAACACCCATTGGATAGTTTGATCTTTCTGAGTGGCATGGCTGTTTTTAGCACAGAGCAACAGCCTGGTTCTGTACCGGTTGCACAGAGGGAGCCGCTTCATATATATATATATACACCAAAGGTAGCGAGGAACCATTAAAAGCCTCATTTGACCGTCTTGGGAGAGGACTGAGGTTGGAGTCAGCTGAAGGTCGAACCAGCCTCTTCTTCATGAGGGCTGCAGTAAACAAACATTTCCGGAAACGGAGCCCTTAGCCTCGGTGTGTTTGATGATTACACTCAGCTGATTCTGTTTTTGGCCAACTGTGAAACACCTCTCTGTCCCCCATGGCATCGCTCTTTCCTCCCCTCCCTTCCACGTTAATTTTATGGATTTATCTGCTAATGGCTTCCCTCCCGTATGTGCCATCTCCAGGCCGACACAAGCCAACCGCTGTCATTCCCCGTTGCTTCTCCATTAGGTCTGTCGGCCCTGCCTGAATGGGCTTCAGCGGGAGGGAGGGAGGGAGGGAGCAGCTCTCCACTTAGTTCTTCTTACCTTGTTAGCTGGAGTGCTGCTGTCATCTCATGTGATTAGTGTGGAAATCCCGTTTGCCCATTATCAGACAGCAGATTCAGTTGCAATCTCAGATCTGAATGACATCACTTCTGTTCATATAGATTATCCTTAGTCTAGGCAGAGGGACGTGTTTCCATGTCTGACAGTCAGGTAGACTCAGTTTAAAGACCAAAACTGTAACATTTGTTACGTTTTTGGCTCCTGCGCTTCTCTCTCACATTGCACTGTATCAAACAAACCAAACTAATTGGAAAGACCTGTTCCCCTCCTTGCCTGTGGTGGCGCTGCACCAAGGACCACTGAAAGGAATGACACAAAAACCTCAGAAGAAACACTGAGCGCAACTTCCTTCTTCACAAAACATAAGCAAACTGGGGCATCAGCTTTTAGTGGTTGTCAGATTCCTTTTTGTCTTTGGCAAAAGACCACTAGCCGTTTCTACCGCTAGTGCTAAACTCACACATTTGTTTTTTATGTATTTACCCAGAATGGCCTGCGGTATAGGCTGCTTCCTGCTTTTGAACACGTCTCAAGTCAACTTGCATTCACATATGCATTTGAACCGCACCAGAGTTCACTTCAGCTGAACCAAACCGAGGTTTGTAGGAACTCTGGTCCGCATCAGAGTTTGATTACGCATTCACACATCCCCAAACGAACCGGACTGCCTGGCAAAAAGACTCTAGAGTTTGATTAAAGCGGACTAACTAAAACATTTCTTCCTCTAGCACTAGGCAGAGCCCCCAATCTGTGTCTTGTGAATTTATATTGGACTTTTCTTGGTTTATTTTAACAAAATGAACCACTAATAGTTGCCACATATCCTTTTCCACAGTTGCACTGCAAAAACACAAAATCTTACCAAGTATTTTTTTTTCCTTTAGTTTCTAGTGTGAATCTTAAACTTAAAATACGACGAAACTAACTTACAAGTAAGCAAGATATACGAGTTTGTTTTGAGTAAATAATTCTTGGAATACTGACAGAAATACCAGTTCCAACGGCTGATTATTTTACTTATTACATGGAAAAAATGTTGTGTTTCAAGTGAAAAAAATCTGCCAGAAAGCATTTTATAAGAAAGTGACCCAAAACCTATTACAACTGAGAATATATTTTTCCCACATTACCTGAAAAGTAGATGTTTCTTTTAATACAGGAAACATGCAAAATCCCTTTTATTTACGTTTGTATTTACAATGAATAACATCCATTTCCAATAAAAATAAATAAAAAAATAAATTGGAATACTTGGAGTATTTGCATGATATTAGTTTTCTTTGCATTTTTTTAGTACTTTTGAGCCAACCATTTTGACATAAAAGTTTGGACTCCTCTGACCGATGGCTCATTAAGCTTTACTGTGTACCTTCAGCTGTATAAAGGTGCACTTTTTATCTTCTTTTCTCCAGCTAAATAAACACTAAATAAAACCATCTGAGTTTTTCATGCTTTTATGTCTTAGATAAAGGCATAAAATGTGAGCAGCAGTCCCAGAGATTGTATTTATTAATCTCCCATTTCTCTCTTTTCTGTCGGTGTGCGGCCTTCCTCTGTGTTGCATAGCGCGTTGCCGTGGCAACCAAAAAAAGGAGATTCCTGACCTCTCCTCAGCACCGCTTTCCACAGGCTTCTTTCTCTCGTTTTTGTAGCCACATAACACATTGTGTGTCTGCCAGATCCCAAATTCAGACACTGATGCAGTTTATTTTTCTAAGCGAAGCATTAGATCATTAAGAGCCGCTTTTCTGTCCCCTCAGAGGTGGAGCAGGAGTGCTGGGCTCCTGGGACTTTCTCTTCATTATTATCTCATCCCCAAGCACACAAGCACTGCTGACGCAAAGCTTGCTCGCATCTCGGCTGTGGGTGCTCGCGTTAGCCTCCGTATTGTAGGACCGTTTGTCACGCAGCTACAGGCTCACCTGTGTGTTTATTTTCTGATGTGAAAGGATTCTGGCAACGCAGACTCTGCAGTGTCTCCTGTTGTCATGCAAAGTCCTCCTGCATGGTGCTAAACCATTTTATGTGTCCCCATCCATCACTGTCAGATTACCCGCAATATGACCTCAGCTCATCGTCAGACTTTTTAATTTTCCCTTCCTTTAGTGCTGTCTTCATTATACGGCCCGGTTGATGCTCTGAGGAGGCAGATTAGCAGGTTTACTGCTTTTCTGCAGCGGTGGAGATGCGCTGTTGGCCCGGGAGTTAGAGGAAGACTGCAGTTTCTTCTCTAGCTGTGACGATCTGCAGCGTTCATGCAGCACTCTTCACCTTATATGTGTGTTTATTTCTGAACCCTGGGGGTTTAATTTCCTCCTGTGTTAGGATAGAAAATATAAACCTGGTTCAAATATCTATTAGATATTCTTAGTTTGAAAGTTCCCTGGTCTGACATTCATTAAAAATTCTTTTTTTCTGTCATTTTGATACATTTCTTGCATTAGAAAACCTGTAAAAATAAGCCAAACTCATAATAAGATATAATTGAGCCAGAACTTTTCTATTAAATTTTTTGTGCAATCAGAATCACTTAAATTAATCTCAAAATCCCAGAGATTTTTCTGTCAAATCTTTGACTTTTCAAATTCAGAAATGTCCACATTTTTATTGCAGAAGATCTCTGAGGTTAATCTCAAATTTTCTTATTTTTTTTCTAGCGAATTTTCAACATTTCAAACTCAGACATTTTCAAGTTTTTTTCTAGATTAAATTCAACATTTCTGAGTTTTTTGGTGGAAATTTACTCCTCTTTTTTTTTCAATTTCTACAATGGCCCTAATACGCCTTCATACAATGGCAACTCACTGTTTTGATCACAGAGTATGACTTGACATCCAGTAAGTCTGCCATGTAGCAGCGGTAATAAATACTGCCACCTGCAGGTGGGAGTGAGTTTCACTTGAATCCAATGTTTTTGGCCATTTGTGCAGAAAATTTGCTGATTTTGTGTGAAATGATTGACTAGAAGGACTGATGAAAATAATAATGTAATTAAATTGTGCACGACTGAATTGAGTTCTAACAATAATTAAAAATTTCCAGCTTAATTTGAGAGTTCTGTGGTTGTTTGCATTCGTCAGCTTTGATCCATTTAGTTTCTCGCTCTTGTTTCTTTTCTTCCGCCCTCACCCTCTGCCTCCTCCTTTTCTGTTCCCTCCTCAGGGCCGCTGCACACGAGAAAATTGTAAATACCTGCACCCACCTCCACACCTGAAAACCCAGCTGGAGATTAATGGAAGAAACAACCTGATCCAGCAGAAGGCCACGGCGGCCATGTTGGCTCAACAGATGCAGTTCATGCTGCCCGGAGCACAGCTGCAGCCGATTGTGAGCAGCTGAGAATAAAACACACATGAACTCTGACCAAGACGGATCTAAGATTTCTCTCATAATGTGGTGCTTTTCAAAATATTTAGTTAAAGAATTCTCATTCTGCGCTGCTTTAATTTGCATTAATACTGATGCCTCAGCCTTTCTGAATAAAGATCCACTTGTTCCTGCATATTCAACAACAGCTGGAGCAGTTTGAAGTCTAACAAATTTTAATGAAGTCAAATTACTATATTGGCAAATCGCATGTAGTCCAGAAACCAAACGGAAAGCTTGAAGAGTTGAAAACTAAGATCATATTAAAAGTTTAATATTCATTTAAACAAAACATGTAGAAATTTAGGATGTTTCAAAACTAGAACTGCATCGTTCAGGATTGTTATTTGTGAAACCTCGACATCCCAATACAAGATTTACCTGCTTTTGTTTGTGTTATTTTTTTTAGCTTATGTAAAATTTGTAACTGCTGTAAAACAAAGTTGAACTTATTTTTTAGGATTTTGTGGCTCTTGTGGGCTGGAAGTTATAAAGCTCAGAACATCGTGCTTTAATAATTTAGTCGCAGATTAGGTGGGATTACTTCTCTGATCTGACCTTAACTATGTTTTACTTTTTTTTTTCTTGAAAACGGAGACTAGAGCTTTTTTCTGACACAAGTTGGTAAATTTACACAGATGCAATGGCCTTCTGAATACATCCCACTGTTGTGGTATTTGTGGTATAATTACTAGTAGTTGTTAAATGTTTTAGACCTAAACCATTAAATATTTTTGTACATTCAGCAGCAAAGTTAAACTTTTTAAACATTTCTTAAACTGCATAGTTCAATGACGCTACATAAAAGTTTCTTTTTAGTATTTTAAGCCTTTTTGTGAAGGGATTCAACATGTTTGTTTCATTGATGTTGTGAGGGAACAGCTTGTTATACTCTAGTCTAAATAACTTTTTCCATCTCTGACTATTTTTAAATGCCTCACTGTTACAGACGATGATTCATTTTGAGGCTGCTTCACTCAGTAACATAATCTACTCCAAAGAGTGTTGTTGTTACCTCACCGTGGCACAACGATTATCAGTAGCTGCGTTTCCATTTGCCATGAAATTATGCAAAAACAAAATACAAGAGTTGTAAAATCACCAATTTCCCCAAAACGCTGCATAGGTAGCTGCTCCAAGAATAACGGGTTTGTGGCTCCAACGCCTGAATTAGACGCCAACGTCTCCTCTGATAGCTGATAGCTGATTCAGCGCCATGGCTGAATTATAAACATATATCATATATCGCTGCCAACATTTTTAATGACTTAACAGGTGAACAGTCTCATTCACATGGAAACACCACAATTGTGAAATTATGGTTGTTGTTTTTTTTTTTACATCAACAGAATACAGATAAGGATTTGCGCAATAGAAACACAACAAGTGAAACGAGTAAATGTTTGAGTTTCTACCCAGGATTGATCAAGTTATCAACTGATTTCTCCACAACAATAATGAACATTTTTATGTAATTTCAGGCTTCTTTAAACGCCTGAAACAATCAGAAACGCTTCATATTCTTTCTGCTTTGTTATAAACATTGTCTCTGGTTCCTTTCGCTTAAAGACAACCTTTCCAGTGACTCCATCCCTGGCAACGAGTCCCAGCATGGCGTTCAGTCCATATCTGAGCCACATGGGCCCAGCCATGGGCCTGATGCCGGAGCTGCTGCCCAGCACGCCCCTCCTCGTCCCCGGCAGTCCCACCAGCCTCACAGCGATGGGCAACGGCACCTCGGCGCAGAAGCACACTCGCACAGACAAGCTGGAGGTATGCAGCCCATGTGCAGTTGTTGCGTTTCTAAGTTTAGTCGAAGCTCGATGAAAGGGAGATGTTGACCGGCGTTCCCGGTGGCCCTGCCAGGTTTGCAGAGAGTTCCAGCGCGGCAACTGCACACGGGGCGAGAGCGACTGCCGCTACGCTCACCCCCTGGAGGCTGGCATGGTGGACTGCAGCGAGAACTCCGTCATCGTGTGCATGGACTACATAAAGGGCCGCTGCAGCAGGGACAAGTGCAAGTACTTCCACCCGCCGGCTCACCTGCAGGCCAGGATCAAGGCTTCACAGCACCAAGCCAGTCAAAACACGGCGCCCGCTCCCTTGGTGAGTTCCTCCCTGGAATGTGACAGGAAATACTTCGTCCTTGTGACCATGCAAGATGTTGAGATATTTTCTACCATTCTCTAAAATGTTGAGATATACACTTGAACCTGAGTACAATGGTAACTAGTTTAATTTACTCAGTTACATTTACTTGATTAGCTTTTTGAAAAAAAATGTTTTAGGAATATCTTTACTGCTCTACATTCTTTACTTTTACTTGAGTAATATTCAAGTTGGGTAGTAAGTAACTACTTACATTTACTTTGGATAACTTGGAGTAGCTTTATAGGGAAAAAATACTTTTAGGAGTACTTTACTGCTCTGTATGTTTTACTTTTGCTTGAGTAACTTCATTACAAAGTATCGCTTCTCTTACTTGAGTAAAATTTCTGGATTTTCTATCCATTGTAAGTAATTTCACTGAACGAAGAACAAACTTGTTTTTTTATTATCCAGAAATTCACCAGACACAGACACACACATTTGCAGTTTTTGTTAAAGTTTCATAAGCTTTATAATAAAAGAAATTAATTTATTTTGTATTTACGCTACCCATAAATACAGAATGTATAATTTTTTGTGTTTAAAACATCAACATTTCCATATACATTATATTTTGATATGTCTGATTATGTAATTTTTAAATATCAAATGATTTATGTTTTGATCAGTTACTCAGTACTTTAGTAAACTTTCTACCAAATACTTTTTTTTTTACTCTTTTATTATTCATTTCTTGGACATCTACATTTTACTTTTACTTGAGTTAAAATATTTTGATGTATTGCTACTCTGGAGTAAAGGTTTTGGCTGCTCTACTCACCATTTTGTTCTATTCTATGTTTATACATTTCTTACTGACGTCGGTCCTTCGCTGTATCATTAAATCATAATAAATACTTATGCATTTCCAGCACATGTATGTAAACAAGAAACAAAACTTCCTGATCACTGGATTAAGATTATATTCTGTTTTTCTTGTCGTTTTTGTTGCCTAATGCTACGTACTGAATTTCTGCTTGCTGGTTGTGTCTATTTGACCCGACATAAATCAGAAATAGCTAAATATATCTCAGGGTCATATTGTCGTTGCATCCTACAGCAGTTTAATCTCATGTGGATAATTTATTTTTGTTTTTCTCATTTTAGTGCCTCCTTTTGTGCAGTCAGAAGCAATACCCCTTTTGGAGAATAAAAACTTGCTTTTATTCTAATTTTTATTTGATGTTGGTGTGGTCCTGCATCCATTCAGTTCACATTTTAGGTTACAGCGCCCCCTTGTGACTATAAAAATGTTTACAATCTCAGGGGCCATAGGAGAGACAACAGTACGGGCTTGGAATACATTTTAAGTATTTATATTCTGTACAAACAAAGTCTGTTGAAATCCTTTCAGTCTTTTTCACACTTTATTTCTCCACCTGGCCAGGCTTTAGCTCCAGGCGGCATGCAGTCGCTGCCAAAGAGGCCGATTTTAGAGAAGAGCAACGGCGCTGCAGCTGCAGTCTTCAACCCTAGCATGTTCCACTACCAGCAAGCCCTGGCTAACATGCAGCTCCAGCAACCAGCCTTCATCCCCACTGGTGAGTCTCTGGGTGCAGCAGCAGCATCCGGGCCCAGCGGGCATGCTAAAGCAAAAACATCACACTTAAAAAAACAAAGGAGGAGACGGACATGATATGACTGAAAAACTGTGACATTTATAGTATTTTAAGGTAACATCTCTTTTGTGACATCATGCAAAAGTAAAAATAATTCAACTGGTTTCCTGGTCTGGTTTCCTTTCCAGTGGGCAGTATGGCTTAAACATAAAATATAATCTTTTTTATACCAAATTTGATTTCTGATTTAAGTCAATGTTTGTTTCTCTTACTCTTTACCCTTAAAAACAACAGAAAATATCTTTTAAAAAACTGGTTTTTATTTCAATAATTCCCTCTGTAAGTTAAAAGTCGAAATAAATTGAAGCTGTAAAACGCGTTTGTCATCCAAGATGGTAATTCTCAAACTTACTGGTGAAAAAAAATTCATATTTCCCAAAAATGTAATCTTCCAAAACATAAAAATATAAGTAATCAATTAAATCAATTTATTGCCCTGCCCTACTTTATGGATCCGTGAAGGTGCCAGCATTAAAGCATAAACGTTAAGGTAACGTCACGCCGCCATGTTGGTCAGGAACGGAGTCTCTGTCCCAGACATCAACGTGTTCTGGTGCTAAATTCATGTATTCACCCCGGAACATGAGGCAAAACGTCTGATGATTGGTAAAAAGTTATTTTCCATAATGAAATAACTTCCATACAAGCATGGACTGAAAGGCCATTCAGCAAAGAAGAAGTTGTGAAACTAAAACAGAAATGCTTGGCCACATTTGTAGCAAAACGGGAATGTCACAGAAGAAATCTCTGAAGTACAGAGGGCTTGTTTTGTTGCTCCAGCCCTGACCATGAACTCGTCTGTACACCAAAGTCCTGTGGAGTCAAATATGAAATCCTCTGACAGCTGAAAGTGACAGGTCATTTAAGCAAATAACCCATTGCTGCTGAAAATGAGACTCATAAAGTCTAAAGGTGCTTCTACTAGCTGTTTAGTTTTATTTTGAATTCTGGTGTTATCTTTGGTAAATGAATCGTCAAAGTGAGGAATTCACTTTATTCCTACAAGTATTCCCTCATCTGGGTTCATGCTGACCTGAGTTTTAGTGCCATTCCATTCATTTTTCTGGTTTAATATGATGTTGGTTGACACTTTGCAGCTATTCAAAAGGCTTTCCACAAGATTTTCTGAGTTTGTTTAAAGGTATATCTGACAATGAGAAGGTCTGGCTTGCGGTGTCCACTTTAATTCATCTTCAAGTTGCTCTAATATGCAGGCCAGACTCTCTCATTGTCTTTAGTTTGTGCTCTTGTAGGAACATGAAGAGCCCCTCCCCAAACTGCTCCCTCAAAGCGGGGAGCATAAAATTCTCTAAAGAAACGTTGGTAAGCTGCTTCTCCTTTGATGCAATGCAGCCGGGCAAGTGCTGCTGCCAGACGAGGCTCGCCCATGCCATTGTCAGACTGAAGCAAGCTTCGTCACGCTAGGGAACACTCCTCCATTCCTTTACAGTCCAGAGCCTCCCAACTTTAATGACCTGATGATGTAAGGGTTGGATTGAGCAGCTCATCTGAAGACCCTTAACTAACACCACTAACAGCTGGAGCTGAAATATTTAGGGTGCATTCACTCCAGCCCTGTTTAGAAAGTTTAGAAAGTCTGGTTCGCTTGTGGAGGTTTGAATGCACAGTCAAACTTTAATTTGGGCCAAACAAGCAAACTCTGGTCCGTCTAAAAACCTCGGTCTTGGTTTGGTTGAAGTGAACTCTCTTCGGCATGTATGAATCCCAAGCAGACCGGAAACCACTCCTAAAGCAGGAAGTGGACTACAGCGGCAGCCGGGGATTCTGGGTAAAAACAACCAAAACAAACATTGAGTCTAGAGCTAGCAGGAGAAATTGCTTGTGGTTTTTTACCAAAGACAGAAGAGAAATTCTACAACTGCAAAAATCTGATGCTACTCCATTTTTGTTTGCATTTCTAGAAGAAGGAAGTGTCTTCTTTAGAGGTTTTGTGTTGTTTCCTTTGTTGGGTTTTGGTGCAGCGCCCCCACAGGCGAGGAGGGGAACAGGTCGTTCAAAGTGTTCGGTTGGTTTGACACAGTGCAGTGATGAAGAAAACCACACAAGCTACAAATGTAACAAATGTTGCTATTTTGGTCCCCAATGGAACTGAATCTTCGTGAAAACACCGTTACTAGCGATGAGATTTAACAACTGGACTTATGCAGCATCCTATGATAATCAACACTATAGTTAACATGTTCACACAGCAGACAAATGTGATGCATATCCGACTTTTTCACAGCACTTTGAGCGGCTCAATTCGATATTTTCATTCCCCAAAAAATCTGATTTTTCCCACTTCCATGTGTAACACTAAATTGGATGCTTATCCATTTGTTTTCAGATCTGATTGTAAACGTTCTGTCTGCAGTCTGAATTAAAGTTCCCATGTTTTATTTTATCCAACTTTACTGACGTGAGACATGCATCATAATTCTGCAACAGAAGAAGCCAAACAGCCCATCCTTACATTGTCTTCTAGCTGAAAATTTATATTTTTAATGGCTCTTTTCCATATTCATACCCAGTTCATTGAATACAATTATCAGATTCTCCAGTCTGATCAGATTGTATGGTTGTGTGCCTCCTTGTTTGGTTAACTATTTGTTTGTTAGTATTTTATTTGATAAGTGGTTAGCTAATGAAATATGTATTTTTCTTTCTCTTCTTTTGTTTGCATGTCTCCTGATATCCGTTTAAACTCACCTTCATCACTTGATATCCCATGTTTTTCTTTTTTTTCTTTTATTCTGCACATTTTGCCATGATAACCATATCATTCCTGTTCCTCCTCCCTCCCCTCCCTCATTCCCCGTCCTCTGTCTTTCGTCTGACTCGCCTGAATTAAAGTTCCCATGATGCACGGTGCCACCTCCACTGTTTCGTCGGCCTCGACCCCCGTCACCAATGTTCCTTTCGCTGAATCCGCCGCCTCAAATCAGGTTTGCTCTTTCATTTCAGTTCTGTTTTATTTTAGCTCTGTAGCTCACTGTCTCTTTTTATTTAGTCGGTTAAAGAAACCATCTGCTTGTACTGAGTTCTGTTCACATTTCATCTGTCGTCCCTTTTTAGTCTTTTTGTCAGACGAGCCAATTAAAACAGGAAATTCTGAAAGTGGGAAACTATTTTATCAGGAAGTCTCTTAGATTTTTTTTAACCACATCACATCTATCTTACTCTGTGACCTTACAGGCTTTCATTAAACCTCAGCAGAAATGTTGCTCATTTTCTCGAGAAACGACATCTTTTAGTTGATGTAGACTTTCGATTCTTTGCTTCATCTTATCAAGATTTGCCTAAATTTAAAGCAACAATCTTAATCTTAACTCTTGAATGATTCTCTTTGTTCAAAATGTTCTCTAAAAATCTCCCAGCCCTCCACAGAACATCTCTATTTAAGCTGAGATTAGGAGTAGTTTTATTTATAAAAATAAAAAAGTGAAAACCAGGTAGCATTTTCTTTCCACTACCTCGTGTCTGTGGCTGGTTTTGACACGAAATCCTAAGAAAATACATTAAGGTTTGACTTTGTTACGTGATAAAATCTGAAAAAAATTCAACGATGGGGAATACTTTTGCACGGCAGTACACATTGTCTCTTAAATAAAAGTGAAATCAATCAATTACAAAATGGATTTTTACTTTTATCTGCCTGCTTAATTAATTAAAATTATTTCTAAATCTAAAACTATATTATTGTCCAAAGGTTTAAGGATGAGTTGCTGCATTTTTTAAAGCGTTCTTGATCTATATTTCTCTAGGTTTTCTGAAGATCTTTCAAGAGATTTCTTGGAAGTTTGACAATCATGTCCTTTTATCTGACATTGTTGTGAGTATGTTGTAGTTATGACTACTAATATAAAAAGAGGAAGTGTAACTAAGGGCCATCATTCTTTCTCATCGTTCTATCAACCGTCGACTGTATGCCAAGAAAAAACTGTTTTTAAAATAATGTTCTTATTAAAAGCAGGCTTTAATAACAAGACCCAAGAATCCTGTTTAGCATCTTGAGTCTTCTGTTGTATGTAAGCAAAAGTGACTCATCACTTGAGTTTGGGGCATTTTTATGCTTGAATTAATTCATTTTGCAAACCAAATTAATTATCTGTAATGGCTCAAGTACTGGACTGGATGGGAATAAAAAGATAGCAAAAGTTATACATAAGAAAAGATCTATAGAAATATGTACACCACTAAAAATCCAAAGCGTATTGGTCAAAAAAGCACAAGTCACTCAGATTTGGTTGAAAAAGTCACAATGATTAACTTATAACAGTCGTCTGTTCCACCCTTGACTCTGACTGCACATCTAAACGGATTTCTCTACAGACGTTGCTGTCAACTCTCCACAACAGGTGATCACTATTAGTTGTGATTTATTTTTATCAGCTTCCTTTGTTTCTGTATTGATTTTGTGATGATCCTGTCACCTCCTGTTCCTGTAAAGACTTTTAAAATCGGTCCATAAACGGCTCCATCCATTATTACTTCCACAAAAAGATTTGCTGCTGTGTGACGTTTAAGTTCCTCTTCTACAGATGTGGGTCGCTTTTGCATTGTAAAACATTCACACAGACTTCTGTGAAAAACATTCACACAGAAGTCTGAATACAGTTGCGCCATTCAGCAGTATGAACAATAATGCAAAAAAAAAATCTGATTTCAACAAAATCTTGGAAATAAGCATCAAGACCTGCTGTGTGAACGTAGCCAAAGGGTTCAGAGCGTTTCTTTGGTTCTGCCACCGTGACTCTTCATCTCAGTGTATCAAGTTTTCTTTCGTAATATTTTGTCGATATTCCACTAATGTAAAAAAAATCCCCACAATTTCACAATTGTGGTGCTTCCATTAAATAAGAAACACAATTAAAATCACGCTTGAATAAAGGTAATCGCGTTTATTCAACGTGATTGGTATTCCTACCACTTCTTGTCATCTTCTTTGTCTTTTCCGGTTGTTGATCATGTGACTCATGTGATGCGAAAACAAGACTATAATTTCGATACAGCTGAAAAACCACCTCCTCCCTGCTCAAAACCTTTTTATCATAAAACTTGATTTTTATTAAAATTGCCATTAAGCAAATTTAATTTTGTAATTCCAGTTTGTGTAACTAAAAGCTCCATGGAAACTCATTGCTGCACTTACAGGAAACCAGCCAACACCAGTGTGACCAGCAAGTGCAGTTAAAGCTTCAGAAATGCACATAATCACTAAATCTCATTGCTCCCCGTTTCTTTGCTCTCTGCTTCTTTCAGTAGACTCCTCCGAGCTTCTGACCCCCGACCCGATGGAGCTGCAGTGCGTTCCCATGGAAAACCATTTCTGCCCCGTCCCCAAACTGCTGGTGGCGGCTCCAGTGGGAATAAACTCAGTAAGCCTTTCACGAAACCCCAGTTAGAGTCCCTGAAAACCTGCAGCTCTGCAGCAAACATGTGCCTCGCCCACAGTGCGCACCGACCGAGTGTCGGTGTGAAACGTCTTATACAATGTTTATAAAATAAAATAAAATTAAAAAAGCTGCAATGGTTCACGCAATACAAGCCTGAACTCAAAACTGCTTCACTGCAGCCGTAACGATGCATCCTGACGTGATGAGCAATAGAGCTCCCTCGTTCTGACAGCCATACACACACCACACCTTAAACGTGTGCACGCACACACACACACACACACATTCAAGACTAGAAGCCCTTTATGGGTTGCAGCCATTACCTGAGGCAGCCCAACACACCTGACTGATCCAAAGTAAGAAAAGTTCATTCTGGATACTCAGAACATTGGAGCTGCAAACGGACCTGCTGCTGGTCTTCAACCATGACTCGTTTTAAAAATGAAAGAATGTTTCATAACATGTGAACGTTTATGTTTCAAGACGGCTACAAATCTCATATGTGTTGCACCATGTGTTGTATATCATCCAGTTTATTCTCATCCGATGCCTGATGAAACGTCAGAAAGAAACTGTTAATTTGTTTGTGCCTTTGAGTTTGTCCTGCTGAGCTGCAGAGAAGACCTGGTTTCTAAAAAGGATTTTTTTAAAAACTAAACAGCAATGATTAAAGAGATGTCCACATGTGAAATTAAAGGCAATACCAATTTCAAGTTTGCTGCATATCAGCGAGTAGCTGCTAGCGGAGGACGATTGTATTAAACAGCAAAGGTTTATTTGCAGGATTTAAAGGTTTTTGCCTGATTTTAAATATTATTATCTGGATTAAAGCAGCAAATGAGGCATCATTAAACATGTAAAATTAGGTTACATTCAGTATAACTTATAGAGGCAGATGGGAGGTTTTCTTACCCCCTTCACACCAGATTAAGACGAGCCTACAGTAAACCATTTGGGACAAAATTCAATCCAGGGCCGGCCCTAGGTTTTTTGGGGGCCTAAAGCAAAAATTTATTTGGGGGCCCCTTACCGTTACAGGAATTTCAATCCAGATTTGGTGTAATCTGCGAGAGAAGACAGAGTTTAATTGTCTGACCTTTAATTCATACCAGGATAATTATATCATTATTATGTATGGACAAACCAAGACAAACGGAAAGTAAAAATTTTACTTTTAGCATTAATTTGTGACTGTAACACAACAATTAATCTATAAAGATTATTTTTGCAAAGTTCTTTAAATCTTACATTTAAATATATTAATTAATCTATCCTGAAACCAAATTAAAGAATGAAAACAATCTTACTAATAAAATATAAAAAGCACATCTCTTGCCAGTTTGCAGAATCGCCCTGTATTTTTTAAAAGGTGGAAATGCATTTGTAGGTTGAGAAGAAATGTTGAGCGTCAAAAACTAATCAGAATCAGCTAATTCTGATATTGATGTTTTTTTTCATACAAGACAATTTGAAGGAAAATCAGGCTTTCCAACACCATAAGCCTAATCGCTAATGGAGAAATATTTGACCTGAAAATAATTGCAGACCACAAAAAGTGTAATTTTGTCCAAATTTAAACGCAAAATAATTGTATTGCCAATATTTTAATGTATTTTACCTGTTGAACTATAAAGTAAATGGCCATACTTTAATAAAACCAACAGTAGTGTCTAATTTTAGTGGAAAACTGATCTTTGTAGATTTGAGACATGAGAAAATGTTTTACAGATTTTAATTAGTTAAAAAAAAAGGCATTTTCAAATTTTGAGTGAAATATTTTGTTTTTTTATTTGATTTGTTTTTTATTTGGTTTGGAAAAACATTTACCAACTAGAAATGCAAGTTTATATTTAAAACGGTTGCCATATTTATCCTAGTTTTAAAGAATAGATCCAACCACGTCTGCTTTTGAGGAAAAGGTGCCAACTATGAAATTAAAATGAAAGCAAAAACATTACCAATACTTTGTGATATACCTAACATTTACTATTTCATGAAAATTATAGTTTGTTAGCAAAAATCTCATCCAAAATGCTAAAATGTGTCCATTGATATCGACTCTGTGAGCTTTTGAGGCCAAATTTGTACCAATGTTTAGTTTAAATTGGAGCCAGCAACAAGCACAAATGAAGATAGACACAATTTGGAGGTGGTGCGCCCCTTGTCACAACTGGCTGCAGTAGTTTAGTGAAGAGGCCTATTTGCTAGCATGAATTGATGCAGCAAGGTAAGATCTTTAAAACACTTTTCTGCCAGTAGCGTCACAATAACGCTGATGATTTTAACCATCATGTTCTAAATTATATCCTCCTTACCAATCCCACAATACTGAGCGTCGATGTCCGATCTTAGTCCAGTGTGAAGGGGGGATTCGGACTGTGGTCTCGAAAAACAAACTGCCTTAAATAATGTTCTACCTTTGGGGGCCTGTCTCTAGTTCTGGATCAGACCACTCTACTATTAAAAGTTTCTTGTCGGATCTGTTCTGTTTGTGAGGTTTTATAGTGCAACAACTAAAAAGAAAGGGTTTGTTAGTTTTCATTCTTTCAGTATTTCATTAAAATAACTCATAATTGTTTCTGTCTTCTACATAAATCTTATAATAAATCGATTATAATCCTGAGTCAGCTCAAATATTGCAAACTGTTAACACTGACGTTTTCTTCCCATCTGATGTCAGCCATTGCACAAGGCGGAAGCTGGATCTGTTTCCTAATGTTGTGCCTAAAGTCTGTATATGCAAGAAGTTGCCCATTTATCGCAATACCCAAGTTAATTCCTCCAAATGATGTGCAAATGTTGAACGCAGAGATCCATCTTAAAAAAGAAATTTCTTTGTGGTATTATTAGTTTTATGCTGCTTTTTAAGTAAATAAGTGGCACAAGATTTATTGTTTAAAGGCACTTCAGGGAGAAATCTTAGAACTTGAAAATGTCGTGTCCGACTTTATATCATCACCTTTTCTACTGCTGTGTCCTTTCTGTCAAAAGTCGTCAGAGCTGAATGATAAAGGATTAGAAGAGGTAGGAAATGGAAGAAATAAATCAGACGTTAGGGGTAAAAAAAAAATACAAACACACCTGTTATTCTCACTGAAATGAACTGCTTTCTTTGTCTGTGAGACTGAACTTGGAAAAGTGGGCGGAAAGCATTTTCATTCAAGTTCAAATGTGCCTCTTTCAAGTCTCCTTAAAACATCACTGTCGAAACACTGTAAGAACTACGAGTGCTCAAAGATGCATCGCTCATTTAGTATGTTGCTAGTGTATGAAACCACGTCTAGTTTCTTCTCGGAGACAGCTGTGCTGTCTTATTGTCAGTGTAATAAGTACATAAACCAGTGAGGTGAGTGGTGGGGGGCAAAATGTGAGAAAATGAATTTCACACAGATTTAGTTGGTTTTCAGTGCTGCAGATGTTCCAGCATTTCCATTTTAGAATAATGTTGATGTGTTGTGAATGTACCTAATGCAAAAACTATACATGTGCCCCCCTGAACGACAGGCATGCTGAAATGTTACTATCACCATATATAAACTATTTCAGAGGTACCATGATGATACTGTGTTAAGATGTATAGAAATGTATGTATTGTTATATAGATTTATATTTAATGTCATTACGTGGTGTGGCTACAAACAGAAATATTTTTCACCTTTAGAAAATTTAGATCAGACTTGTGCTGTTTGAGGTGCAAATGCAGCAGAAAATAATTTCTTTAGAGAACACAAATTATAAAGACGTAAACAGGTTATGTATCTGTAAGAAACTTTTTTGGAAATGTGTCCAAAGTTTATTTCTGTCAACTCACAACGTCTCTCTTTGAACTTTGCTTTGCAGGTCAGACTTTAATTAAATGTTTAATTGCCAAAAGTAAGACTAAATTTAAATGTGAAGTTGTGGATGCTCAAAAACTTACATGCATCTTTACAAACTTATGTATACTTGTAGGTCTAAAACTTCATTTCAAGCATGTCTTCTTTGGTTGGCCCCGTATTTAGTGGAGCTTGTTTTTTCCATGTTTTTAATGTGGGAAAAAGGTGCACTAAAAACAAATCTGCATATTTAATAGACAAAGAGAAAGTCAGTGTGGCACACTTAATTCTAACATAAAATTCAGTTCATCCCTCTGTAGCTTTCACATTCTCCATTCATCCATTTTTTCTTTTTTATTCTTCCTTTTCCTTTCCCATCTTATGAGGGAAGATGACGGAGAAACTGCAGCAAAACTGCAATTTCCTTCTGGTTTTTAGCCCCTAAACACTAAATTATCCTTATTAATTTCCCACATTTACATTTAACAGAGATACAGACTATCAGTAAAAAATGTTCAGTAAATGTTTCTAATTTTTAACTAATATGTTTTAATTAACTTGGAATAAGCTGACCTTAAGCTGTCAAACTGAACAGTGTCTTCTCAGCTCTATAATGAGGAAATTTTTATTATTTGAGGAATAAAACACACCTATTAAAGTAAATAAAAAGTCCCCTCTACAATTATTGACACCTGTGTCAAAAGATGTCACAGTTTTCAACTAAAAATGTTAGAAAAATTATTCCTTTAATTCAAGTGCTTTTATTTTTTTATCAGTCACAGTTATTTTTACCTTTATGATTTTCTATAAAATAACTGTAATTTGTTATTTTATATCTTTTTAATTCACTTAAAAAGATATTTTTTCCTGATGTTAAAATGACAAATGTCACTTTTAGCCACTATTTAACACGGGAAAGACAAGAGAACATGCCGCTCAAGTGAAGTTGTTGTGTATTGATCTACATAAGACAGGAATGGCTACAAGAAAGTAGCTTCTCTCCTAAATTAGCTCATATTTACTGTCAGAATAATGGTTAAAAGTTGGAAACAACTGGATTGGTGACAAATAAGTCACAGAAAGCAGGACAGTAAAGAAGATAGGAAAATCCACAAAGCTCACTGTTTGAGGAAATCAGTCAAGTTTGGCCTCACAAAGCCTCCAAAACGAGAATTTACTTCAAGGATTTTGTGCCAATAATTGTGGCTGGTGCTGCAAGTTTGCACAGTGAGTCAAACTGGATGTACTTTACAAGCCTATCACCTCAAAATGAGCAGCTTAATCTTCTCACAGATCATTCTGAAGTCAACAAAAACAGCTGAGAAAAAAATATTTTCATGCCAAGAAAGTAAAAAACTCACTCCTCTTGCTAAACTGCTTGAATTTTTCCCCCACCATTGGAAGCTGTGACACGTTTAAATAAATGTCACACCTTATAGTTTAAAAACTAATTCACATCAAACTGCAAAATAATATAAATGAAAAATCAATGGCAACAAAATGACAACATGGCTACCTTTCTATTATCATATCATTTTTATTCTCATAAACTTAATTACCTGTTTTATTTGAAAAAAAAAGGAATGTCTAATTAGCTTGTATTGTGCTTGAATATTTTATATAGACAGCTTAAATCCTTGTGATTTCCAAAGTCAGGTCAGGTTTTGCTTTGTTTGCTTTTGTTGGCCATACATGTTTGTCTTCTTGTTTCATTATGGTTTTTTCAGAAACAAGAAAGGACTTTTAAAGCAAATGCGTTTCTGTTAGCGAGGTAAAGAGACTTTTTGGACAAACTGTAAAGTCAAACTAATTCACCTCCTGCAAACCAAACAGTCTGTCGCTGCAGAGCTTTTGTTGGCAAGTTGTGTTTCAGTTTGGGCCAAAAATAGAGTCCAGAAGTCTCTTGATGTCCAGCTGTGCTGGGTGATGTCAGTCCTGACTAACATGTACAAGAATGTGTAATGTTCACCTCGTTTGCACTTATGTACATAAATAATCCAAATTTATTTTGAATAATATACATAAAAGAGATGATTAAAAATAACCAATCAGCGTATTGTTAGCGGTGTGTCTATTGTTTTATTACAGTGTGAAAACAATTGAGGTATCTGTCCTTTTGTTTGTGTGTTGGTGATGACACGCATTAAACTGTGTCAACTGTAAACTGTGTTTGGTTTGCTCCGGAGAAATATTTCTTTCATTATTCTCTAACATTGAAAAGAACAGGTGGATTACCACAAAGTCTGCAATAACTTTAGGAGATCAGTGCCATCTTTGCCCTTAGACCCATGTCATTATTTACAACATGTAGGAAAATCACCTCCTGAAGCTGAAAATAGCCAGAAGGAAAGAAAAAAAAAGGGATGAGCAGAAAGAAAAAAAGAGGAGAACGCGTGCCGGATGTGCTTACAGGGTTTAAATTTGAAATTCTGATTTTACTTCTGCAGAAGCATTCTTACACAGACATGATTTTATCAGAAACTGACATGCCAAGCGATTGCGTTGCTGTTGGAGCGAGTGATTTTGTTGCCATGGCTCCGGTCCATGTTGTGGATTGATTGAGTCATGCAGCTGAATTGGTTCACAGCTCTGCGACTGCTGAGTGTTGAAATGGATCTCTGATCAAAGCAAACTCCTTGATGCCTCAGTGGTTCTTTTCATACTCTCAGCATCTCCATACTGGGGCTTTTTTTGTTATTTTTACCACTTACAGGTGAATAATTTCTCAAGTTTATGTATTGTCTGTTTGCTGTTATTGTGCCTTCATAGTACAAAGTGTAATTTTTGTTGAATTCAAAAACAACGGTAAACTGAATGTGTGTGTGGTTATTTTTTCCCAAGTCTTTTGTCTGTGCATCATTGCGTTTTGGTATAAGTTGAATACAAAAATCACAGA